GTGCCTTTCAGAGTTGCAAGTCCTTGAAGACCATCCCAGGCTCTGTAGCTATCGGCCTGTTGGCAATGGATGCCCTGCAAAACACCATTGCCAATATAGCAATGGTGTTTTGCAGGGTTGCTCGTCCTTGGCCAACTTGACCATCCCGAACTCGATGATCACATTGGAGGTCATGCCTTTGAGGATTGCAGCTCTTTGGCAAGTTTGACAGTCTCCAACTCCTTGATCCATACTAGATAGTCATCATGCCATCTGGGCATGATGATGCAGTCCTTTTTCTGAACGAACGACCATCTCAAGTCTCAAGTTGTGATGCCATGATTTTGTCCTCTTAGGATTGCAGCGAGAATGAGCTTACCAAGCAAATAAGAAATCCAATGTTTTGGTGGAGCTTTCGCTCGCACCGTGAAAAGGATTGCATTTCTCGGAAGCCAGGTAGATGATGCTTCCCGCGGCTGGCAGCTAGGGCGAATCTGTAGAATATATAGTACAGCCGATTGTTTACTAAGTAACTTCCCTATTCTTCCCTTCTTGAGATCCCCCAAGCCCCGGTGTGCGCAGAGGGCTCGCAGTTGCGTGGCCAGTAGACGGCCGTTTTGGTTTCAAGATTTGCATCGCAAGAGAGGATAAATGAAAGCTCGGCTCTTTTTGGATCTCTTCAGAGGAACACCTCCCTGGCTGATGCACATGTACATGATGGCGATCGTGGGCGCCTTCATGAAGCTTGGACGCATGTTTGTGACGGCTCGGAGATCTTCACCAGGCGACTAGAGGTGTGTTTTTAAGTATAATTCTAATAGCTTTTTGTTACTACTAGTAAGGCACCTGTTACTACTAGCGTGGCACCTGTTACTAGGAGCAAGGACGCGACCTTGGCAGGTTCTTTTCGTTAATCTCCGCCCGGACTTCTGACGCCTGCGCATCCTCAGGTATTTGTTGATGGCCGTGTGGTGGCTCGCCTCTCACCGCAGATTTTCTGGATTTCTGGGGCCTATGTCAGCCAAGGGGGGGGGGAAGATGGGGAAGCACCAAGCACATGGGAATGCTTGGTGGTGAGCTGTCTGGGTGGTTGTTCCGATTACCTTTTCAACACTCCGAGGCTTGCCATGCACGTCCGGCACTCAGAGCCCTTCCACTGGAGGTCCGCGTGCTTCACAGGTTGGATTTCGGACCATTTGTATTCGGATTGTACCATCTAGCGTCGCCTAGCGTAGTAGGTTGGAGGATGTTGGAGGCCATCGCTATTAGGGTGGAGGCCTTCGCTAGTAGAAACAAAGCAAAAGAAAAGGACAGAAGGTCCTTTGATGTCTGATATATATATATATAGTCTGCTAATGTCTGCCAGTAGGTTGGAGGCCATTGCTATTACCACCGAGGCCTCGATTGTAGCACAGTGTACGGAAGTGCGTCTGCTGACGCAGTTCGTGCGACGGCCGGGGTCTTACAGGGGGAACGGGTGCATCCACGGACAGGACCCAGTTCACCTTGAAGGGTCCTGCCTTCTGGGTTCGTACAGTTCGTAGCCCAGAATCCTCAAGCCTCGACTTGATCCGTTTGAAGGTAGCTCATGTTGCATGCATTGCATGCAGAGGTGCACGTCCTGACATGAAATCACCGTGCTGTCACAGGCCGGTCCCTACGTGGGAAGAGCTACAGGTGTGGTCAGCCAGATGCACTTTTAATCTCTTGAAGAAGCACGGCCTCTGCCCCATTTGTAAGACATCCCAGGAAGTTCCAGCAAGGAAACAGACGGACGTTGCCGTATTCTATCTATGCCGTTCTGTGCTTTTTCCTCGAAAAGGCCTACGCTTCTCAGGACATGCGCACCTTCGCTCAGACCTACGAGCATTTGGAATCCGGGCAGGTGATGTCGGGGAGCCTCAGAAATGTCTGCTGCCAGGGCACTGTAAACTTGGCATTGTCTGGAAGTTCTGGAAGTCTTGAGCAGAAGTGATTTCTACCTTCCATGATCTTCACTGGTATTTCAGGCTAACTGCGGCTGATAGAGTGGCTGATAGTCGTTACAACAAACTTTACAGTAGATTGCAGCTGGTCTTGGGGCGGGCATTCTGCACACCGCCCAGAGACGGAAGGCGTGTGCCCTTCACGGGTACAGCGAAGCCTGACCAAGACCATGCGCGAGGCAGTTGGAGGGATGACAGATTGGGGTGGCGAGTGAAGTCAGGCGGAAGTCCAAGCAGCGGTGGAGGGGCAGGGATCAAGGTTTGTTTTTTATGTATTATTTATGCATATACAGTACGTATATATACGTATATGAATATATATATATATATTAGTTCTAAGAAAGGTTCTATGTTCTATGTTTGTATATGCGCAGAAAATATGCAGAAGAGTTTTAAGCATCTGAAAGGTAAATCTTACATCCCTACTAACACCCGCCCTCCTCCAAATATATGGATGAAACAGTGAGATATTATTGAAGAGCGGTTTTTACAGAAGAGCAGACTTGTAAAGTCAATTCTTGCAAGACACCTCCCTGATGATGCCTGCAATTGCTGCAGCAACTCAAATTCGTCAGCGCTGCCTTGATCTTTGTTTTCCCGTCCCATGCCATGACTTCGTCCCCTCCCTTGACTTTCTGAACCCCCAGAGTTTACTCTTCCAGTGTGTGTTGTGTGGTTCACCCTCGCTGTGAGCATGCTTCTCAGTTTTTTCTCGATTTTTTTTGGCCAATGTGCTTTGCAGGCGAGACAACGAGTGCCTTTGGTTCCCCGTTTGGCTCTCAAAAGCCCAGCCCCACGGTAGGAGCGATGGACGGGTTGGCACGTGGCGAGGGAGACGCAGATTTCCAGTGCTGCTAAGTGCGAATGTCCACCCAACAGCAATGGTGTCGCCGGGAGGTTATGTGGTGGGGCTGGCATTTTTATATCTACCTGGATGTGCGTGTGATGGCCCAGTCATCAGTGTCCTAGATCTCCTCGTCCTCGTTCGCCGTGTTGGGCCTCACAAACTTGGGATTTGTTGGGTGCTTCGGGCTGAAACCGGTTTTTTGGAACTCACTCCTTTCAGGAGCCCTTCCGAGCGCCGCGGCCGCCGTCCTGGCCCCGGCAGCGGTTGGAGGTGTTCGAGTTATGCCGATGGAACGAGAGACGCTGAGGAACGAGCCATTGACCCGTGGTTCAAGGAGGCGTGGAGGGCGGGGAGGATTGAACTAGCTACTGTTGCTATTGTTGGAATGGCACTTGGGGGATTCCAGTGATCCAGGATGGCTGGGGATGAAATTGAACTGGGCAGTATCCCCCAGCATCGGCTGGGTTCAGCGGATTATATGTACAGTCATTTCGTTTGACCCTTTCCACATGCCGCAGCTGAACTGAGGCTCATGCGGAAGATCGTCAAGGATTGTGCCTTGCACATATTTGATAGTAATTATATGTGTTGATGTGAGAACTGCAATATTGACGTGAATATAATGATCATTCTGAGGTGCATATAGTTCAATAATAGTATAAGTATATATACATACAGTATATTTGCAATTTCTTTTGAGATCTCACATGAAATGTAGATCAGCGGGACTTTTGCACACTGGTCAGATTTGGGCATGATGTTCCATTTCAGAGGATCAAATGAATCGTAACGGGTAGCTATAGAAGCTAGTAGGTTGGAGGCCTGGTTGCTCTTGTTGTTTTTAGTTTGTAAGTCCAGGCCTTCAGGCGTATCGACGGGGCTACTAGGATAACGTTGGAGGCACCAGATCAACATGCTGAGCGTGTTCTTTCAGGTACGAGCTGATGCAGATGCCGATTGAACGAAGGTACAGCGGCGGCAATTGGGGTATGGCCGAATGAGCATAGGGGATTCCGAATTTGACCATCCAATGGGTGTCACATGGACTACCCCACACAACTTTGAGATCTTCATTGGACATCCATTGGATGGTCCAGGTAGATTGATTGTGGCACTCTTCGGGGATTCGTCCTGTCTTGGGGGTGTTGGCGTCAGGAGTGTCCTTTGCTTTCTCTATTTTCTCATGCGCAGGCGGCATATCTACCTTGCAAGACGGTCTGCAGCCCAATACCAGGCCTGGAGCAGTAGATGCCGATTTGGATGTACCAACATTTGCATTATGGCATGTTGTGTTATTACTGTATTTCCGCTTTTTGAACGGCTGGTGTGAGAGAAACGCCGACAAATACAAGACATCAGAGGGCCATGGGTCTTCACCGGCTCCTTTGCAGGCCTTTGATGCCTTTACCCGCACAGCCATGGCCTTGTCGGTCGCTGGGGGTTGGGAATGTCCAAGGCCCTCTTGTTCCAACATGGGATCTAAGGATTGTATCCTTACAGGAGTGGTAGGACGTTTGCAAGCCTAGTGGCTATAGGTTCCGTTCTCTCAGAGACTCTTCGCTGTGGTTACCACCACCGGAAAAAGGCTCAAGGTTGAACCTTTGGCAGGGTACGGAAGGGCGTTTCAGGTCGGCAAAAACAACACAGTCCAGTTCACTGCATTTCCAGCCCCTGATAAATGCTTGTGCTAGCTGCAGCAGGTGCTCCAGACGCTTGGCTCAAGCAAAAAACAAAGTCACAGCAAGTCAAGGTCACTCAAGAGCAAGGTTGGCCACCTCTACGACTCCGGCACGACACTGCAGCAGACGCGTGCTGTCATGGTACGTCATAGTGCTTCAGCCATCCCAATAGACTAGCTTGATGCAGGATCCAATAGCCTAGCGTGATGAAGGCCCATCCACTACCAGTCTGTAGGGGTTAAGGGGGCACCCAGAGAGTCCGGAATGTTCTCCTGGAGATTCACACCTGTCTTTCCTTGTGTTGATCGTATTACTGTATTGGCAAAGAATATGAAGGACAAAAGGGTGGTGCATTGAGTTGGCAAAGGTATGCAAAGGTGTTTAAGTATACTTATACACAGACATTCCTCACAAGACACCTGGTGCTGCCCGATGTTTTTGGGCCAAGCTCCTTTGGTGCTTTGTCCCCCCCCCCGCCACTAGCTCTTTTGGCACCTCTCTCACTGCGCGATGACGTCCTTCGAGCAGCTGGATGCCGAGATGCAGCGCTTGAAGGAGATCTCCGGTGGAGGATCCAGTTTGGAGCCCGTCCTGTCCCCGTCTCAGCTTGGGAGGTTGACGACAAGAGGTTTGGAGACACTCTGACGGGTGCAGGAGGTTGGCCAAGGAGCCATGTTGTCCCGTGTTGTTGGGCTTGGTATTGTGCAATCACCATGCAGCTATCTTATGTTACATGACTTTTAGTACTTATGACGTTTTAAGGTTCTTCAGAGATCTTCATCTGTACTGTAGTGGTTTTCTGAACTTCTGCGAACTGATCCACTTGACTTGGATCCACTTACTTGGTATGTTTTTCTTTTGGCTCCCCAAGGCGCGGGTTCCACGACGAGGGCTTCCAGGCTTACGTCCAGCCAGATGCCTGGAGATTTTCGCGAGACGCGAGAGTGCAGAGGGCGTAGAAGATTATGAGGACCTGAAGCAAGTACCATCAAGTCTTGCTTGGACCTGATTCATCCGAGAGGTGCCCCTGAAAACAAAGGAGAAAAAGACCTTTCAACGTCAGGGGAGGTCATACCATGGTTTTCTCATGTTTTCTGGGGAAGACTGAGGCAAAAGTTGGGAGGCGGTCTGGTCGAGGCAGCTTGCAAAAGTGCAACTTTGATCAAGTAGGTCGGAATCTGGCAGTTGTCAACTGACCAAAGACCATCCCCTCAGAGCCCATGAAGAAGCTATCGGTCCTGAACTTTCCGTCCGAACAAACGAGCTACCAGGTGTCAAAAGCAATTAGGCTTCAGATAAACGACACCGCTTCAACATAGACAATATATAGACACGTTATCTGCATTTGGTTGAAGGATGTTGAGGGTTCATATACACCCAACAGGTTCGTTTTATTTGTTGGTGGTTTCAGGGCAGTCCTGGTTTCACGGAGCATGTCTCGCCAAGGCAATTCGCAGCTGAGCGGGCCTCCGCCTTCCAATCCGCCTGCCCTGACGGCTCACAGCCATTGATTTGGACCCAGCCACCGGGCAACATGAGTTGGAGCCGGGTCGTGGGGCTGAGCCAGGGCTCAGCGGAATCCAACATGGTCAGAGAGAGAGAGAGAGAGAGAGAGAGAATGAGAGAGAGAGAGAGAGAGAGAGAGAGAGAAAGAGAATGAGAGAGAGAAGGAACGGAAGGAAGCGGTCTTCCCGGCTCATGCTATAATTAGCAAGTTTAGACCGGCGTGACTGTGGCAAGGTCCCTGTACGTGCCCTATTGTCACAGCAGACAACACGGCGCAGTCGCTCGATGTGGCCAGGTATCACAACGAGTACCGCGAGATGTTTGAATGCCACCTGCAGAATGTTTTGCAGTCCCTCAACATGACTGAGGATAGCTTTCACGAGCTTTGTGGCTATATTCAGGACCTGATAGCCGCTTTGGAGAGATGTCTGATGAGAGATGTCTGGTGATTCGCAAGTCTGCCCTTGTAGGAGGTGTGACCAATGTGACCGGATTGAGTGCGTGGCGTGTGAGCTTTGTTGGCCACTTCCCACAGTGTGGCCTCCTATGAAGTTTGATGACCGAAAAACAAGGGCTACAAGGGGTATTGGATGGTAATTATTGGATACTATATGTATAATATATATATATATATATGACATTGTTGGTATTGCTATTGCTGTTTGTTTTCTACTACATCCTTGGGATTTAGAATTCCTAGAGCCATGGTCACACATCTTGAGACACCCACGACCTCGACCCAGGAGATCGTGGAAAATTTGGGCGATGACTCGGAAAACCTCTATGGCTACATCAAGGCGGGGTTTGGTTGGTATCCCTTTGTAAATATCTTTTTGAACTGGTCGTGGCTCTATGGAAAAGAGAGCCGTTTTGACACTTATAGCCCTACAGTTGATAGACAATGACTGCCTCCTTGCTAGTAGTGTCCTTGCTTCTAGCAAGTAGCTCAGACCAAGAGGAACGGAACCACACGATCACATGCTGAATCCGAGCTGTGGGCCCCAGGCGATCACCTCGTCCGAAGACTACGATGCCTTTTTGCAGCTCATGTTCACGGAGGTGTTTCGCCGAATCGGACCGGCAAAAAAAAGAGACACACACAATCACACTATATATATAAAATATGTGACCTACACACATGTGTGTGTGCGTGACCCACGCCGCGAAGCGGAGCGGGTGGAGGTTGCGGGGAGCAATCGTGTTGGGTAGGGTATGGTAGGGTAGAGGTGTTGATGGGCTTAGTGGGCAATGGGTGGAGCCCAAAATGATGAGGATGTGGAGTAGCTTTAACATAGTAAAATGTTTTGACGTTTGGATCACGAAGGGGGCTTTGGAAGAAGAATGACCATTCTTGTCACGTTTTCGACGATCGCTGCTTGGGGAGCCAATGACACTGGGTATATAGGTCGATTCGCCCCGCACGGATGGGGACATCCAAGCGCTAGGTGCAGAGACAGCATCTGGTCCCGATGGAAGGGCAAGTGCAAGAAATTGACGTCGTCGTTCCTGAGGGCATGGGTCCCGGCCAGCTCTCTCCTCAGATCTCTTTGCATCTCTTTGCTGTACAACTGTACAACGTTGGAGGGCGAGTCATACAATGAGCGGAAGTTGTTCAAACTGCTCCACAGCTCAGGCTTTTGCCCGTGGATTACCTGGGTCGGCGGTACGAGCTTTACATCCCGGTCGGGCGTGCCCAGACAGGGGTGCCACGCACGTCGAACCGAAGTTGGTGCTTGGTTGTTTTAGTCTGACATTATGACTATTAACATATATAAGTATATATATATATATCTATACATATCATCCATCTCTCTCTCTATAGATGTACCGTTCCTCTCTCTCTCTCTCTTTGTATGTATGTAATGGTAGCCCACATAGGCTTAGAACCTCTTGGAACCAGAGTTGGAACAGCGTTTAACAGATAGTAAATTACTACATACGGTAGCTGACCAATGGACTGGCGTGTTGAGATTTGGCCTCCGGACGCTCAGCTTCGGTGATCAGCATGGTTTGTTTCATGACTGTGGGTTGGAGGAAAGGAGCGACACCTTTTGATGTCAATCCCAAACAAAGGCGGGTTACAAGCATGTCAGGACCATCGATTTGGGGTGTCCAATAGGCCACCCAATAGCCATGGATCTGCACACCCTGGATGGGCTGTAGAGGCAGGGAGGGTGCCTTTGAGAAGACAGCGGCCACATGCACTGGAAAACCACATCAAAGTGATTTTGGGGTCCCCTCACTCAGTTTTTGGGGATTGGATGGGGTTGGCATGATTGGATCTTAACTATTTGAGAACCTGCCAGAATGGTTGTGTGTGGCCTATCCCTTATCCTGTTCATTCTGTAGTCTGCTGCCATCACCGTTTCCTGTATATACCCGATCTTTCAAGCCTGGGGTCAGATTGTTGTCTTTTGATGCTTGTCGAGCGCTTGTACTCAGGAGGGCTGTGAAGCTGGAACAACCTTCCGCACGACCATCTCAATAGAAAGTTGACTGGGTCTTGAAAAGACCCACAGCTTGCTGGCCTCAAAAGGGAGTGGGGACGGAAAGTCGTGCTGTAGAAGTCATGCCAGGTGGATTTCATTCAACAAGATATCCAAGACAAAACAACATATGTGGCAGGCCGTAGGCCCTATCAGTTGCACCCCCGCATCCTGTGTTTATTGATTTTCCATCGCGACGGCGCTTCAGCCTAGCTCTGGCACACCCGATGCGATGTCTTGCCCAGCCGAGTGTGAAACACACCTCGCAGCGTCGCAGAAAAAGAGCGTTCGAAATACACCACACGGCGCTGTGAGACATCGGATGGCGCCGTTTTGGTGGTTCGTTTTCGGTGCTGGGAGCACGGATGTCTCACTTACGCTGATGCATCAGAATCGATCAGAATCTCATCTCTTGGTTGATCAACCGCTACTAGAATGGGTCAGCGATTGAGCAAATCCCACTGAGCGGGCAGCATGGATAGCACTACGACTACGAGCTTGTATTGCTGAAGTCTTTTGGATCAGTTTGACTTTAATGCTGTCTCCACACATTTCCATGGACATCCATGGACAACCCCATCCAAGCAATTTACAAGACGGACATTGACGGACATCGGTTTTGTCTCCCGTCCTCTCTGTGAGGGTCCAAGATCACCCAGTTCGATGGCTTTTTTCGGCGCCACCGAGACGACGCTGGGATCATGGAGTTTCCCGCAAAATGCATCAGAAGCAAACCTTGCGCTTGCTCTTCCGAAGAGCTGAGGCTCTATCCTGTGGGACGCACCAACTCCTGAGCGCTGTGGTGTGGCGCCTTGGGGGGGCTCAGTCGATGGTGTGACGTGGGCCTCTGGTGATTTTCGCAACTTTCAGGAGGTGAAAAGGGTTGATCTACCAATTGCACCGGTTTTCGCCTGTTGAATTTGAAGGGAGACCCTGTGCAAGGTTGCACCAGTGAAGGGCTCATCTACACGTTTTTCGAAGAGACCCAACTTGATGAGGCTTTGCCCCATTTTTTGGCTGGGCACTGCGGCGAACCAATACTTCATACGGACATGGACATGGGTGTCATCGTCAAAGACAGAACCAAAAACAGTGAAGCGGTTTCATAAATAAGACCCTTAAGGCTTAAGGATTGTTCTTGACAATGGTCTTGCAAGTTTTAGTCGATTTTCTCCGTCGTTTCGTCTGTGGGCCGTGGCAGTTGCAGCGTGTGGTGTCGTGTCGGCTCAAGCGACGTTATTCGAAGCCAGTGCCAAGAAGCCTCAAAGAGACTAGGAGGTAGAAACCACCTGCCTGACACAAAGAATAGGCACAGAAAGCCCCCCAAGAGCCCTCAGCCTTAAATGTTGAAGGTGTGTTTTTCTTGGATTTTGCTGTGATTCATCGGGCGCGCCATGAGGGCCATCCGCGTGGAACTGTGAATCTCCAGGTACTTGGTACGTACTACGCAACCAGTGCTCGCATGCAGTGTGTTGGTACAGGTCCATCTCCAGGTCTTGGGCTCCAGGTGAAATATCCATTTGGTCATCCATGATCCTTTTCCGCCTCAAGGTCTTAGGCTTTGACAGGCCCTGGGCTGCGCTGGAGGTCTCTGCACAGCTTTCTTCGGAGAAGTGCGATCAAGCCGCGGCGTTGGCCGTGCTTGGGCCCATCCTGAGCGCAGCGACGGTCCGGTGGCGCGCCCTGCCGGCCGACACGGCGTGCTGCTTGCTGTTGGTGAGAGAGGAGGACCTGCGCAAGGCCAGTGTGGCCTTACAGAGCGCAGGGCATGAAGTTGGCTCCATTGAAAGGCCGGAAGTGCAGATTGAATCAGACGGTGAGTTCTCCACTTCGAGCTCCGCCCCAGCGAAGCCACCGAACGTGCCGCCCGCAGCGGTCGCCGAGGCTCCCGTGGGGTCGCCGGCGTGCCGTCGGTCCAGATCCAAACGAAAGTCCAAGGCCAAACGGTCCAAGGAGAAGGAGAAAAAGTCCCGTGACCGTTCCAGACGGAGGTCGCGGACCCGCAAAAGCAGTGCTGCGAGTGCTGAAGCGAAGGCCTATCCTTACCATCAAGCATATCCTCCAATGCCACAGCCAGGGCCACCCCCTCCAGTCCCTGTCCGAGCTCCATGTCCACCGCAGGTCGCACCCGCAGTGCCCGCCGTGCCCGCCGTGCCCGCCGTGCCCGCCGTTGTGCCGGGCATGGCGCCTCCCTTTCCGCCATGGCACCATCCTCCAGGGCACCCCTACTTCCCGCCTCCAGGGCCTCCCTACATGGGAATCCCTCCATGGGACCCCCGCCTCGCCCCAGCGGGACCGCCACCGGGACCCGCGCCGGGACCCGTGCCGGGACCCGCGCGGAGTACGGCGGGGCCGGAGGAGAGCGTGGCCTCGGGAGCCAAGACCTTGCCACCGAAAGCTGGGCGAAAGGAAACCGTGGGCAGTGCCTGGGGGGAGCCCACAGCAGCGGAGGTCAAGGGCAAGGAAAGCAAGGACAACTCATCATCCAGCCAGAGCTGAGGGCGGGAATGGATCACTCGGATGAAATGTCTTTGTGCATTGGATGTGCCGGATGTGGATGTGGGGTGTTGATTATGAGTCAGGCCTTTTCACCTCTTGGGCGGGCGGGAAAAAGGCCCGCTGGGAAAAAGGGCCTGGTGGGGGGAGGCTGTTCTTGCTCCTGAGGTTTGGCTTTTGTTATGCTGCTGCTGATCAACCGCCTTTTCGGGGCCCCATCACCAGCCACTAACTTGTTGGATTGCAGTGTTTGCGGAAGCAGAGGGCACCGATGAGATTGCCGATTGGGCAGCATTGTTGCAGCACCATCAGCAACACACACACACACACCAAAAAAAAGGCAATTTCATTGAAATCAGTCCGGCCCTCCAGTCTCTTTGCAACACCATCAACGCTCTCAGGATCTCTCAAGCTTCTTTCAAAACCTGCACGGACCTTTGTTCAACATGCTTTGGGGATCGCAGTTTCCCCCGCAAGCTTGGAAGCATATGATATCATTATGATATCATAAGATTATATCAACCATGGTCCCAGAAAACCTTAAACTGCCCATCATGATGTTGCAGTTTGTTGGTTCAAATTGGTGCTTCATCTCCGCCATGAGGCCTATTACTGCATCGGATACTGCAGCATCCAAGATGGTGCGCCGATGCCTGCCTGCTGCGCCCGCCTCTCAGGGGGTAACGGCCAGTAACCGGGGCATGTCTTTTCTCCTGTTGAAGAAAGACATCATGTACCATGCGCACGTCGTACCATGCCAAGGGGGACAGGCAGGTGCCAAACGCCTCGGAACCCGTGGAGTTCCAGCAGTCGGACTGGAACTTGTGCCGTCCGCTGGAACCCAAACTGCTTGCCGCTGGATGTGTCATTCCAAGAGGTGCCCCGTGGAGATGGAGAAGTAGTAGAGAACGGTGGACCCCCAAAAAAACACCCCTGAAGCCACGTGAGCCTGGGTCATGAGAAGTGGCAGCGAGAAGAGCACTGGGGTTCATAATGGTTCATTTGATAACTCCTCCACCCCAGCCTGCGTCATCCAGCTGTGTCAAGGTGGCAGTGGTGATGGCCATACCCTCAGCGGACTCAGAGAGAAGTTACACGATGCAGAAGGTCACCAAAGATGGCGCAAACCGACTCTTCTTGGTGTCGTTTTGTTGTGACTTACCTGCGGGCCTTTCTTTTGTCCCCACACTTCCCGCCTTTGGGCGGAAACCTCGTGAGATGCACTATGGAAGGTCATTCTATATGTGATGTTCCATATTTGGGCAGAGCACATAGCAGTCTCCGAGGTTGTGAAGTGGACTTTTTCAGGTCTTAAGTTTTAGTATGTTTGAGTGATTTTAGTGGTTCAGAGGTTTTCGAGAGCAGTACGTCCGCTTTCTGCCCCAAGTCCCTGCAACACAAGTACAGTGTGACCAAACAGTTCGCAGCGTTTTGGAGCCCTTAGGACGTCTTAGGACATCTTAGGACCCTAGGATCTCCATTGCAGTCTCCATCACATTTCCCTTCGGACCCTCACACCCCGCGGCAGCCGGCCGTTCGCATAGGTGGCTGCCTCGGTGGCGGTGGCCCAGCTGGACTTCTCGATGACCTGGTGTGAACAGGTCGGAGCGGGTTTCCGGAACCCGGTCGGGCGGCGGACTGCTTTCTGTGTTCTTTTAATTTTTGTAACCGGATTAAAGAGAGAATGACGGTGGGTGAGACATGGTGAGAATGGTGGATCCTGCGTGCCTCCTGTGTGCGTTACATGTGACCTGCTCAGTGACACACAC